GTTTACTCTGCTCCATAATAAGCTTATCTTGCTGATCAAGTCTTTGCTTCATTGCTTCAAATTCATTTTTATTTCCCATATACGTGTGAGAATATTTACCTTGCCTAGGCAAATCACCATATACAATAGATGCAGTGACACCTTTTCCGTACATCTTTACTCTTCCCCCTTTATCTTGCCCAGCAACTTGAGAAAATATATCATTCGGGCCCGTATCTTTAGCACCAGGAGGAAGTCCACTAACTAGTTCTTTCATCTTTCGCTGTACATAAGAAGAAATCACGTTATAGCACCAAATATACAACACTATTTCTAGTTAGTTCTCCTAAAATCACAAATTGTGCAAATAAGTTTGGTTAAGAAAGGTTGATTCAGTTCTTGAAGTACGAAAAAAAATCATATATACCAAATAATCTGCTATGTCGGGATTAGACGTCTCCCCGTTTTTGGTATAACACTTGGCAAAAAGATCCATTCTTGTTGGTTCGTTATCATTCCTAAGTTCATCAACATCTCTTTCATCGTCAGTTCTTTCATCATCATACTCTACTTCTTGCGAGGTCAATAACTCTTTCTGCAAAATAGAACACTCACTTGCATAAATACATTACTCAACAAGTTTACACTTAATTAATATGTTATAACATTAACATATTTTACAATCATACTAACCTTCATATTCTCTCTCACTTGAGCAAAACTTCTCTTTCCAGTAATGTGATCAATAGTCTTTTTTTTTCGATTAGCTTTATTTTTGTCACTTATCTTCTAAATATATAAAAAAATACACTTCAGTTAACATTAATATATAATCTATATTTATTCATTTATAGCAATAATAAGTATTAATATACCGTTCATACAAAATATAATAACGTTAACTTACTTTTGCTGCATCAGAGATCCAATAAAGCACCAAGTCTTTCCATTGATCAGGGAAGACTCTTTCATCATCAGCATCAGGACGTTTGCGCATGTTTTGCTCCAATGATAATTTTTCATCGAAGTATTTTTTTTTCACTCTATTCTTCCAATTTCTCCAACTTTTAGCTAAATTCATCATAGTGTGCTTTTCAAAGTTCGGTGCATCACAAAACTTCTCCTACATTACCAAAATTAAAATGCAGTTACAAAATATCACAAGATATCAAATAAGAAAATAAATTAAGAAGAATAGCGTTTCATATTACCTTAACTAACTCCAACAATTTGCTTTTCAATGGCTTTGGCACATTATGCCAATCTTTCATGTTCAGTGGAACTAATTTACCATTTCTTACTAACGTACCAATGAATTCCACATATTCACTTTTATTAGGACCAATGGCTTGTCCTAACTCATTGAACTCAACTTCTTTTCGACTTCTCCTAACCCAAACACGAGCCATATAAGTAGGTCCTCTAGTTTTTTTATCACAATCTGCAAAATTAAATACAAATTTTGATTAATAAAAATGAAATCAAGTTCGTCCAAAATTGTTGATATTATTATTGATATTTTTAAACCATACCACCCATATCACGTGTCTCATTTTCTAAGTCATTTGAATGTGAATCAGATTGATGATTTCCATACTCATGCCTGACACGTTTACCAAGTCTTATGCTTTCCATTCCTACAAAATTTATGTCATGAATAATAAATAAAGAAATAATGCAGTTTTATAATTAAAACTTACTTGAGGTATCTCCATTCTGCTGATCTAGAGTTCCAGCTGATACCAGCATGCCATTCTTCGTTCTTGCCATACTTGAAATATTACAAACTGTAAATTCAATCTTAACAGTGAAAAGTTATTAAAACTAGTAATTATAATCAATAAATTAATAAAATTGCCACATAAATACTATCTAAAGATGAATAATAGTATTAATGATTCATTACTGTTATTGTCCATGAAAAGAAATTCTAATTCATTATCATTATAAGAAAAAAATAACTCTAATACAAAATAGTAAATACTAAATGCAGCTGAGCACGTCCTATGTATCTTCTACATGATTCTCTTCTAAGTGATCCACTGGAATTTCAGGGACTCCGTCTCGCACCCAAACAACAGCTTCATCCTCAATAATAGGACGATCGTTGCAAGTTTTACTTTGTAAAATAGTGTCAACATCGTCAGCCCATAAGTCTTTCCCATCATCATACTTGTCTCTAGCCTTAGTTTTTACAACCACATGCCAATCTTTTTCGCTCGGATCATCTACGTAAAATACTTGCTCAACTTGAGATGC